ACATGAAACAAACAAAACTGGCTTTGTTATCTATCAATATTGGAATAACACTACATTCAATTAGCTAATTAACTAAGATTATTGCGAGTATTCATTTAAATGAAACTAATATTTTCTTGATTATACACGACAGACGGTGAAGGAAAACATCGTGAAGAAACCTGGACTTATATCAAATTATAAGTTTGAAATCACCAACCCGTCTTGAGCAAGCGTGGTGATTAATGCTCAAACCTTCTCCATGTGAGATGAGGCAGCTTAGCAGTGGGCTCTGATAGGATGATAAAAAACAACACTAAACGACTTTATTTTATAATAAACTGAATAGTTTTAATTTAATTGTATTGTATACACTTGAGGTAATCCGATAGACTTACCTTTAACCACAATCGATATATTTCTTTCACAATTCTTTGTGTTGTTTGAGTTCCATCATCACGTGTGTTTATACAATTATCTTTTAGTCCGTTGGAGCGTACATTAACGCTTGGCGAGGTACATCCGCACATTAAGACAGGTAGATACTAAACACTTACTTGTTAAAAAGAAAATAAATACAATGATTCTTATAAAAGATATACGGAATTAAATGAAACTAATATTATTCGGATTACAAGACGTATTTTATTATTGTAAAACTACTATGAGTTATAATAATTTAAATTATGATGTTAAGTCAGTGGTGGCTTAGTGGTTGAAAGGCTCGCCTCTCATGCACGAGGGCGCGGGTTCGATCCTGGCAAGTACCAATGTGATTTTTGCGAGTCATATGTACTTTCTAAGAGTATTTAGACATCACTGATTAATGCATTCCCAAAAGAGGGTTGATGTCAGGCAGGCGGTCGGTGGTAAAAACAATTAGCCAAAACTATTCACATTATGTAAGGCAGACCCTGGCTAAAGCTAGGAAATTACCAGGTAGATGTAAAAGAATTTAAATTGTGATGTAATTAATAATTCTAAATTAAACGTTATTTATATTCTGTTATTAATTGGGTATTCTCATGATAGTTAACTAGAGAACGCTGTATGATATTAAAATGAACCCTCACCTAAATATGTTACCTTTTACCTTTGAATATGGAGTAATAAGCATCTAAGTAGAAGTACAGCCTAAATTATTTCTAACAATACATAATCCCGACGTTTCGGTTACTTTTTAGCAACCATTATCAGACAGACGAGATTAATAATAAATAAAACAAATAACAATAAATGGTTCACAATAAAATTGTTTTCGTTTTGTAAATGTTATAAGTGAGCGGAAAATCTCTCTCATTATATGAATACAGCGTATCGTTTTACTTCAAACTATTATATTACACAACACAATACTATTAAAGGAACCTAACGTGAACAAAAACTCCAATGAATTAATACAAAGATCCATTATTACTTTATTGACTGTTTGTGTTTGATTCAAGTAAAAAATATATTAAAACATATTGAATGACTAACCGCACGATTAAATTATATATAATAATGTTATTACTATTATAAAATTAACATGTTACGATGATTTTTTTAAACTAAATCCTATAAATAACAATTTCAATGTTGGCGCCATTTTTTCCGCGTTTTTTTTTTACCCTAAACTATAAAGGCAATGACTGTCATCAGTCAGCCGTGAAATTCATTTACAATAAGTTGATTGTTAATGTATGAATGTATTGTTATTGTTTAACGTCAATTACTATTGAACAATTTATTGTTAAATACAATGATATATTTTACAAATATCGACGTATTATATGTATTGTGTGTGTGTGTGTGTGTGTGTGTGTGTGTGTTCAAGTTTCATCATATTCTCTTACAAACTCCCAAGTCATGAATGTATTCATTACATTTAATGTTTTTATAACTAATACCCATTACTTAACAGTAGTAGTTTACAAATAGACACAGACTACATGTGTATGAGAATATGACCCTTATCGACGAAAATATAAAGAATACAATCCTATAGCATGACATTTGTTAATTTTTAAAAATTTGTTAATTTACAAAACAACGAGTTCATTACAAATTTAAACCTTATACTTATATTAATAAAGTCGTTATTTGAATGAAGTCTTATTCCTATAATTTGGTATGTTAGCACAGCGAATGGAAATTCTAGTTTCTAAAATGTCAAATATCGTGTGGGTTTCGGTGTAAGGCAAACACACAGACAGACACACACAGACACAGACAGACATACACAGAGAAATACAACATACTTAGAACTTAAAAAACAAACATTACAAATAAAAAGATATTAGACATATACTGTCTACACTCATTACAAGTAAAAGTATAACACAATGCTATAGGTACTTTCATTTTAAATTATCTATTATACAATAAAAACCTTGTCATATTCGGTTCAGTAGTTTTCAAATTATGCAAAAACAGCTCGAATTAATATATTTATTCTATAATTAGTATTGTTTTATAATACAAATCATATAAATAGTTTTATCTCCTGTGTGTCCGTGTGTCACTCGTAATGGGTCTACCAGTTTAACTACTTAATAAATACGAACCACAAAAAAAATACTTCAATAATATCTGCTTCAAACTAATAATTTTAATAGGAATTATATTTTCATAATAAACGCTAATATATTTGATATTTATAATGTTTAATCTTATAAGTCAGTGGTGGCCTAGTTGTTAAAAGGCACGCCTTTCATGCACGAGGGCGCGAGTTCGATCCTGGCCCTAGCAAGTACCAATGTGATTTTTCTGAGTCATATGTACTTTCTAAGAGTATTTAGACATCACTGATTAATGCATTCCCAAAGAGGGTTGATGTCAGGCAGGCGGCCGGTCGCAATAACAATTAGCCAAAACTATTCATTCATAACATGTAAGGCAGACCCTGGCTAAAGCTGGGAAATTGACAGGAAGAAGAAGATAATGTTTAATCTTGTAACTATATGTAGTTATTCTTTTATTAAATTTATTTTCTTGATATTTCAAAGATCGAGGTTAAATTTTGTATTTTTCTTAACCTTTTTATCATGTCTATCATTAAATAGAGTTATAATATTAGTTTATATAGTTGTTAAATCCCTGTATTATGATCAATAGTTGTTATATGAATCTAATTATATCTTTAGACAATTTATTCTAGACCTACATATTATGTTAATTTCTCTTGAATGAATCCTCATACACTCACACATACACTAGATATACATATATGAAGATTTTTACGATTATACATAAAACTGTAAACAAAAAAAATTATATACATAAAGATAGTAAATTAAATTAAATTTCACATATAAATATAAATAATTTTTTTTGCTATCCGTCCCGAGAGCGTACGCGACGCAAACAGTTGCTCAATATTAAAAGCTATTTCATATAATCAGATTTACTTATTAATTAAAAGAAGATCGTCCACAAACAAACACAAGGCTCGCGTTACACACACACGTACACAGAGGTCGGCTGAAATATTAAACAAGAGACACTACTACATATACTATATAATAACATTTATAATATATATTAAAACTAACTAACTGGCATTGTTTTGTCATATAAAAAATAGGGGTTGGCGATAAAAAAGTAAAAATTTTGTATTGTATGTATGTATTTTTAAAACTACATTATACCTAACAAAAATAAAAACAAAAATTTCATACGAAAATAAAAATGATAAATTAATGATGAACAACCCTTATGACTTAGAGGTATGAAAAATAGATGTTATCCGATTCTCAGACCTACTCAATGCTCACAAAATTTCATCAAAATCTGTCCAGCCATTTCGGAAGAGTTCTGTGTCTAACACTTCGACACGAGAATTTTATAGGTATATAGGATACTAGCTTTCCGCCCGCAGCTTCGCCCGCGTGGAGTTCGGTTATATCGCGTTTCCAAGAGAACCTTTCAAAAATCTGGGATAAAACTATCCTATGTTCTTTCTCAAGGTCAACTCTATCTCTATACCAAATTTCATTAAAATCAGTTCAATGGTTTAGGCGTGAAAGCGTAACAAACAGACAGACAGAGTTACTATCGCATTTATAATAGTAGTAGGATAGTCCCTATTGGTTATTAAAACTCGAACACTATTCTAAAAGCAATAATATGCATTGTTTTAGTACTTATTTAATATTCTTATCTTAATATTGTTACACACGACTAATTAAAATCTTTCAACACATGTGAACACTGCCTTATATAAAATAAACTATTAATGAGATCAATTAGTTCAATAATATTATATTTGTGTATTATGACGTCATATGTCAAGGACTACTCACACTGATTAAAAACTAAACTATTAATATGGAGAAAAAAGAAACGCTTTAAAAAACCGGTTAAACATAAAACTTATATGTAGTGAAAGTTAAAGAAAAGGAGACAATTACTAAAGACTACAAAGTTTGAGCAGACGTGAAGAATAGTGAGTAGAACTTAGAAATATCATTAGAAAGTTAAGTAAAATGAGAAGTTTATTTAAAGACAGACGTAACAACATACGACTAATGAGATCTAAGATTTTTATTCATTTAAATGAAACTAATATTTTTCGGATATACTACGTGGTTTGTTTTTGTAAAAAACTACATACTCCCGACCTTTCGGATACTTTACAGCAACTTTGCTAAAAAATAAACCGCGTTGTATATACGAAAAATATTAATTTCATTAAAAATATAAGGTACCTGGGGGTATTAAGGCCTAGCTAAGGGAAATTTGTGATAAAATGAAAAGTGTCCATCATAATCAACAAGTTTTATTAGTAATCAGTCATTTACTTAAATAACTACAAAGTTTTAACAAAAAATAGCAACTTCTGCTTAAAATTAAAAGAATATTTAACTTTTTTAAAAACTCTCTCTGTAGGCCTTATTATACTAAGGGAGGGTAAAAAGGCCTATAGTTTAAACTATCGAAAAATCAACTTAAACTTTATAAATTGGTATTTTTGACATCAATAATCATACAAATAAAGTAATAGGAACATAAATGGTCTTAGAAAATTAAATAAATTGCCTCTATTCGCATCCACCAGGACACTGAAAGTCATCAGTATCTTCCATCGACAAACCGACACACTGTTCATGATACCACTTGAAGCATTGCGAGCATTGTCTCATTGCATCATCCATTCTGTCTTCTTCGCAGGCATGACAGTACCAGCTCACTTGCTTTTGTGAAGTACCTTTGATGGTGGTAGACTTTTTTGCCGATACTGTTTTAGCTTTCTTTGGATTTGAAGTCTTTTTAGATTTCTTTTTTTCTGTTCTATCTTTTGTGACGGAAGTGCCTCTATAATTAATGGCTTTTTGCCTGAGAGGCGGTGTTTTTGTTTGATCTTTAGCAGGCGTAGACAGGAGATCATAAAATTCATATCTTTTTATCTGATTCAGAGGCAAATCATCAGATGCGTCTGAACTCGAGCTTGTACCATAAATTGTACGATAATAGCTGCGTTTCATGGTTGGCACTCTTGAGATTTGCCCTGTTGAAGTTGATGCTATAGCTGGTGATTGATAAGCATGTTCTGAAGTCGTTTATCGAAGACAATCAACAGGTGAAATATTTCCTCGCAGAACATCAGATATTGGTATCTGTGTCAAAATTGATGGTGATCTATCACTAGATTCTGGAGTCTTCCGTTGTTGACTATCAATAGGTGGTACATTTTCTTGGTCAAGATCAGGTGTTGAGGCTTCTGATAAAAAAGTAGGTGTTGTATTTCCGCATTCTGGAGTTTGTGCTCGAGGATAATCGAGAGCTGGGACGTTCTCTTGGTGGTCATCAGGTGCTGGAGCTTCCGTTAAAACTGAAGGAGCAAAAGCTGTTTCTGGTATAAGCTGTTTCTGGTATAGCTGTTTCTGGTATAATCAGTTTAAAAAAGTAGGAGTATAATAAGGCCTATAGTCAAATTTTATAGGCCTTAATATCCGCCGACCGCCTGCTTACAAAAAACAAAACAAATATTTTTTTTAATACGATACACCCTTTAATATGGTAAGGTAGGTGCAAGCATAAAATAATTAACGAACAGACAGTCAATGCAGGTATGTAACTGTGATATTACAAAATTTACTTACGTTTTGCTGGAGCCAATTTGTATAATTCCGGCCGCGCGACCGCTCCCCAAAATGTTTTCGACGACGCTGGCGCCGTGGTCAACGAAAGAGCGCGTCCGCCGCTTCGCAGCGACGTGTACACGCGCTATGCATGTGTGAGTGTAACCTTGATCGTCAACTGTTATATTTCGTACGATTTTTGTCACTTAGGCCTTATTAACCGACAGGCCTTAATACCCGCGGGTACCTTATATATATACGAGTATTCCAAACACGATCTATGGAAGGTCAATTATATAAAAAATATATTAAGTACTTACGTGAAAAATAACTGTAAATGCGATATTAAAATTATCATTTAACTATAGCAATAAGATTTTTTTATTTAAATATCCTTAATTTTAATATTTGATGAACAATACAATAAATTTGAAAAAAACGTGAAAGAGAAATAATTATTTCAAATTATTATTACATAATAAGTTTTTATTTGATCTAAAAAAACATATTGAACATGTTTTATACAAAGGTTGTTCATTACGGAAAAGAAATTAAATTAAATTGAAGACAAAATATTTATTGCAGGAAAGACGAAAACAAATGTGCAACTTATTTAAGTTTAATAATTAATGTTCCAATATACGTATTGAAATCATAACATCGATAATATTTAGTATAATTAATATATTATTCTAATTATTTTGTCTATATAACTTGCTAAAGATTTGATTTTTACAGTCTTATTAGATCTTTATTGGGATTTAAATTTTGACAACAGTCTTCGAAGTTCGAAAGTAATTCAGATCTGGAAAAAGAAGTAAGTACTCAAAAATCGAATAAATGTCGCAATAAACGCTTCATAATAATAAATTATAACGATCATCCATAACGTTGTTAAAAGAAACAAATTTTTTAAAAAATATCTTATAAAATAGTATGAAATGCGGTTCAACAATTCGACAAACAAACGTTCAAACATAACAAATATATTTTAAACCTTTTTCCTTTCCATTGTAACCAAGTCGGTGTCCAAATATTGTGTCAACGCGAGAGTCGCTCCGTCTCTGTCCGTCTCTGTGCGCCAGAGCGGGACGGGTATAGGACGCGCCGCGGACCAGCGACGCCGATACAAACGAGCCGCTAAATAAACACAATGATGGTGGCAAAGCAGGTATGGACTTGTACTTATTATAATAACTAATTAAATATATTATTATATTAATATATTATGTTATTTAATATCAACATCTTCATATACCGAAGTCGGTTTTAATATTGTTCTTAATTGTCAATATACCGAACGGAAGTTCATTCATTTTATTTAAATTTTTTCACCATTTTAAACAGTCAGATTCATGCGTAGTGCCAATAAAAATCATTTAAATAATTTTAATATATAAACGTTATATTAATATAGTTTATTTAAATAGTATATGTTTCTGTATATTGTTTTAAATATCTCCCTGTGTGAGTGTGTAGTGTGATCGGACCGCGACTCCTTGTACACCGTCCGCTGATATTTGAAATGATTTACTTACTACTACAGAAGACTGAGAAGTGAAATAGATGAATAATGAAGACCTTCACGAACACACACCGATATACACGTACAGGTACAGGTATGACAAATATTAAAATACATTGTAGTAATAACTATGACAACTAAAGTCAATAAGATCTAAGAACTTCGCGAGTCATTTAAATGAAACTAATATTTTTCGGATTAAATGCGATTTTATTTTTGATTATAAACTACATACTCCTGACGTTTCGGCTACTTTTAAGCAACAGCAGAGGAAACTATAGTTTAAGATCGTGAATTGAAACCATGGATGAAACTTTCAAAAGTCTAGGATAAAAACTATCCTATGTTCTTTCTCAAGGTCAACTCTATATCTGTACCAAATTTCATTAAAATCAGTTTAGTGGTTTAGGTGTGACAGACAGACAGAGTTACTTTCGCATTTATAATATTAGTTGGGACTAATAATATATTGTTACAATTTAATTAATAAAAACTTGTAACGTTGCGTATGTAGTGTGGAAATGAAAACTTTTGTTATAATTACAGTTCTGATGAAGATGGACGAGTGATTGAAGACTAGTGCAAGAATACTAAGAAGTTTTGAATCAGAATATAAGAAGATTTATCTCATGATATACTAGCAGTAAGTTATTTGATAATTATACTGGAAATATATGTTTAAGTACTATTTATATTACTAAAATTTAATAAAAGTAAAAAATAATATTCAAGTAGATTAATTGAATCAATATTATAATAAATTGTAATAGTAAGTCACTTAGTATGCGGCCGGTCGCCCGAGCCGTCTGTCACAATACCAACCCCTTCATAATAAAACGACTATAAAAAATATAACTCCTTTATTTGGCAATAAAAAACAGAAAAATTTACCAAAAAACATCGAGCAATATAAAACAGATGTCCGTCCTCGACGAATTATACAAAGGAAATGTCGCAATTATGTTAATGTAGCGACGTCTTGAGATATAGCTCGGGATTGAGTTGATAGGAAATAATGTGTTTTATAGCTGGTCATAGTATTACTTAATCTTAATCATTACTAATAACATATAGTAAATATATTTATTTCATAATTGTTACATTTTCATTCAATATTAAATATTATCTTCAACATGAGATCTCTTTCATCAATCAATATTTCCTTGACCTTTGACCCTCGCTCCTCTCTTCTACATATCCTTGTGATCCCAGTTTTCGTTTATTTCCTTTTATTTCTTCTTATTTCTCCCTATTTTTCCTTGTTTCCTGACCCCTATCCCCTCCGCGCTAATCAAACCGCGATAATCCCTTTTTTATTAGTGTTATAAATTATTACTTTAAATGTAATTCTTTTTCTATTTCTCGATTTCAATGACTTCAATGTTTTATCGTAGGAGTGTACAAACTTTGTTATTTTTTAATAATTATTATGGACAAATAAATGAAATAAATATTATTTGGCATTTTTATTTCAGACTTATTATAACTTGGAGATGTGTAATTTCATTTTATATAAACGTATATATTATTAAAAGTATATGTAAATACGGTCCGGAGTCACTTTGATCAAGTCCCGTGACGTCACACCAGTCTAATAGACCCCGCGCCGATACACTTATAAAGCGGTCGCGGGTCAAGTTACACTGGACCTTAATTATACTTTGACAAATCTTGTTTCACGCTTCGCATACGTTCACAAAGTCTCTTCCAAATAACAAACTTACGTGTACCGAGCTCATCTTCTTGTCTGTTCTATTCTGAACCTTATTGTCATATAAATAAAGTATTATTATAATGTGTTCGGTTGTCGCGTTGTTGTTTGTGTGTGAGTCCTCGGGCAAAACACTTGGAGATAGAAATCTTGTTAAAGGAAACGTCTTTTTCAGCTTCCATTGTCTACAATAACTTGCTCCGACGTGTTCTCTGTCTCTGTCTAACGCACGCTACCCACGTATAGCTCCGTCCCTCTCGCACACAGCCTCGACTCACTTCCCGACGCCTCTTATTCTGCGGTGTTCTTTTTAATTACTGTGACGTTTTATGGTTTATTTGATCTTTATTATTAGTATAATATAAATAAATGTATAAAGAAAATATGGCCGCCGCTTTGTCATATAACCAGAGTACATCCACTGATACGAGAACATCTTTCACCAGAATAACTATGGTCTATGAAGAATTAAATTATCAAGGAGTTAATGAAAACATTTAATATTCAAAGTAAAAAAAAAACACAAAAATATATATTTGTAAATACTATACTACAGTCAAAAAAATCATGATATCATTCAAAGAATGGAAAATAAATAAAAATTATACTGAAATAATATTATTAATTATGCATTTGATACAAAGTATCTTGATACTTAAAACTATTAATTAGAGTGCCTTGCATCGCCATCTAGTGCCGAAAAGTCTGATGAGTTGAAGTCACTGACGTAATATAGTCTCAAGTAGTGCGTAATAGTTTCTCATTTATCCGCTAGATGACATTAAACTAAATTAAAAACTATTACGTTGTAATAAAGATTTATAAAAGTAATACATAGTTTAAAATAAAAGTAATAAATAGTTTAAAATGTGATTTTTAATAACGATTTTTATAATTTTTATAAGTAAATAATGTTTTTAAGCAATTTTTATGTACCAACACAAAATAAAAATCTAAAACAATGTCATTGTAATATTTAATTCAAACATCGTAATGTGGTTTTAAAAAATAATAAAACAAACATCATCATCATTGGTACATTGGTACTTGCCAGGTTTGAACCCGCGCCCTCGGCAACGAGAGGCGGGCCCTTTAACCACTAGGCCACCACTGACTTATAAAATAAACGGGGTGAGCTAAATAAAACCGTTTAAAAAGACGGATGACAATTAATATTTTAGGCATCGTATTCTATTTTGGAGTATGAAAATAATACTAGTAAAGTAGATAAAACATTCAGTTATATATTTAAATTGTTAACTTTTTATAAGAGTATTTAATACAAAAAAAAATACAAGCATTTGGATGGAATGTTCATAAATAAGCAGAAAAACTCTTTAAATTGTTAAACAAAATACATTCCGCTGAGTTCCTACAGTAGAGAGAACACACAAGCTTCATAAAAAAATATGTAGTTGTATCCTTTCCTATCGAGGTGACAAAGTCTCTATTTAAACTGTTTTGAAGAAATCGTTGTAGGGATACTCTTGATCTGGTTTAATCACAGGCTACAAAAAACAAAACCTTCATAGTTCATTAATTAGAATTATCTAATGTTGTATGAGATGTCTATAATAAAATAGTTTTAGCAGCTTAATGTCAATTTTCTGTAAATTACCTAACTTCCAGAATACACAACTATTAAAAATAACTTTGAAAGAGCATTTTCAAACCGATGTCGAGTGTCATTTCATTAAGAGACATGATTATTTTATCCAGAAATGGCACTGTAAGTAAGAAACTAATATTTATTTCTTCACCATCGGAAAAAAGAGATTTCAACGAACAGAAAACACACAAAATTTTTGAAAAACGCTAATATTTTGACGGGTTATTTTTCGATTGAAAATGATGCTGATTTTTTGATATTTATTCAAAATAAGCTGAAAAATAAATATTTCTAATCAAATAAATTACAGTGTATTTGGGATATCAAAAGGAAAGTTTTCACAAAATTTCGTGACAAAATATTGTTTTTTGTAAGAGATAAAAATAAAAATATCAAGTACTCGGTTTTTCGAATTTTTCACATAAAATTTGAGGTTATGTGAAAGAAATGTTAGTACAAAAGTTTTAGCTCTTTTTATTACCTACAACTTTGTCATACAACATTTTTCATTAGGACTCTTAGTTTTTCCGGAAATCGAGAAAACCCATATTAATGAATCATTCATCGCTTTAATAATAATTCGTGCCCGTATTATCGCCCAACTGTAACAGTGAAATCATTCTGATTTGTCCCCACGTTCAAGTTAGTTTCGTTCATCACGTGCGTAAACACAAAACAGTGAGGTTTATAAACAGAGTTGTTGTTGTTACATACAACACTAACATCCAACAGAAACACGAGTTCTTACAAGTATTCCTTCATCTACAGAATCAACAAGTCGAGAGACTTCAATCACACTAATACTAATCTATTGTTTTCAATCAAAACCACTACATAATGAGTATCTTCTTGGGAATAAGTAAATTACTTTGTTAAACTCTGATAGAGGTAAGTTTTAGGCAATACATTATGCTATTTTATAATGTATAATTCGTCAAATTTCTAAATGATCTTAATATTTCAGTTCAAAATGTGTCAGAGCTTTAAAGTCGTGTTGACTATCATAGTATTATCATCGGTGAGTAGAGCGAAGATAATAAGAAACAATGCTCTCATGACCAAGATGGTGTCGAACTATCAAAGAGACAACGACGTGTCTGAACCCGAGGGTGAAAAGACTCCCGTGTTGACGAGGATGCAGCAGGTGCTGTGTAAGAACTTCCCGACCATCCCTTGTGAGATGATCACTGAGGATAAGACACTCAAGAAACTCATAGAGAAGTCCATACAACAGATCAACTTCAAGAAACTATCTCTGGACAAAACGACCCCGCTGCCGAGATACCTCACGCTATTCCCCGTCCTTAACAACGAAGATCTATCCAACTACGTACAGACACACGACGTGTACAAAGACACGCACAAGAAAAACAAAATCATTAAAGATAAGAAGTCCATAGGGAAACGGAAGAACAAGACGAAATCCAAACACACGGCCGTCTACAACAGAAAGAAGATGAGGAAGTTCTATCCGCACAAAGTTAAATACAGAGATAAGAACACGGCGCCTGGAACCGGAACCGGAATGGGAACTGGAACGGGAACCATCAAGGAGGACTTCGGAGATAACTCCGCGGATAAGCTGTCCATGTCCGTAGAGGTTCCGGATATGACGCTGACCCGGAAACACCAGCACTACTCGTATAAGATGGAACCGGCTGACTCGCCAGTATGGAGAATAGACTATATGAAGCACGGAGAACACAGTCTGGATCTGTTCAGAGACCAGCTTGGAGACAAGCTCGTGGAGAGCAGGGCGAGCCTCGCGAGGGACCACGAGCGACCGAGGAAAGACGTGCTACACTCAGACGTCATCATTAAGAAGAACTACGTGAGAAAGAATACTGACGGCTCGGACGGAGCGGAGTAGACCAGCAGACGAGAAGACTGTAAACATAAGACAGACAGATGCATTACATTTACATAAAAATAATGTTTTCTTAATATGACTAAATATCAACTTATAGGACACTAGTCCTACCAACTTACTGAGTACATTCCGGATAAATAAAGTGTATGCCTAGAAACTAATGTGAGCAAGATTATTTCGTTAAAGTTAATAGGTTACCAATAAAATATTTAAATATATTAAAAAACATTCGTATCACAAAACCGCACTCCTCACACCGCGGGTTCCCATGTGATAATGTTATCTACAGAATAGTAAAGTCAGGAACACAAACATTATCTTCATATCAAAGAACAATTATATGATTTTAATTTAATTACACGTTTTCTAAATTTCGATACAATAAGTTTGTTGTCAAATTATAATAAGATCATTAATAAATCAGGTAACAATTTAACAGTTAGTCAACTTGAATGAATACTGACAAATAAATTTTAACAAGTGTAATGTATCATTGTTTAAAATTGTTTAATGGAAGGTAATTAACTAAATAAAAGAAAATCTCCGAATAAAAACAAATGGGAACAAAGTCGTCAAACAAATAATAAAGTCATAGTTGACATGGCAAACTATAAGAGATGTCACAAAAAATAACACATTATGTTAATCTACTCATTAAGTAATGCATAATATCATTTAAATGACAATTATTATAAACTTGTCGATCCTCATTACTCCGCGAGTGTACACACAGCTTTATACTTGACCCGCGGCGTGTAATTTCATTAAACTTTCAACTGTCGTGAAGAAAACACGTTAACAATGTCTCGTCCCGTTTTATCTACTCACGCTCTTGATATTTCTACCGGGAGACCAGTCGTCGGTATGTTCGTTGAGTTGTACAAGAAGAGAGACAACTCGTGGACTCAGTGGCACAATACAGTGACATCTAGCGACGGGAGGATACAGTTCCCGTTCTCTAAGGACTCAATGCCCGCCGGCACATACAAGCTTAAATTCAACGTCGAGGATTATTACAAGAGAAACGAACAGGAAACTCTGTACCCGTTCGTGGAGGTCATTATTACCTACTAGCTTTCCGTCCGCAGCTTCGCCTGCGTAGAGTTCGGTTATATCGCGTTTCCAAGAGAAAACTATTCAAATCTGGGAAAAAAGCTATCCTATGTTCTTTCTTAAGGTCAACTCTATCTCTGTACCAAATTTCATTAAAATCAGTTCAGTGGTTTTGGCGTGAAAGCGTAAAAGAAAGACAGAGTTACTTTCGCATTTATTGTATTAGTAGGGATAATATAACCTTTTTATGAGTGTCAAACTATTTCATATCTAATCTAATCTCACTGCATCAAGGTATAAGAAGCAATCCTTTAACCTTTCCTCATCAACTAGTTTCTTTTATATTTAATTTCATTCATGTCGTTCACCTTCAAGTTATTTATAAAATTTCCTTATTACTAGTATCCAAGTTAAATGAATACTTTGTCATTATTTAATGATGAATCTATTTTCTGTGTTTTATATAAAATTGATATATTTCAGGTGGTTTTCAACACTATGGAAGACCAACACTATCACATTCCGTTACTATTGAGCCCGTACGGATACTCAACATATAGAGGAAGCTAGTAATTGACTCATAGTAAACAACAATAACAAATACTCATCAAAACAAACTAATCTCATTCGAAGCATTTCGTAAAGTATTTTGTAATAAATAATTTAAATTTCTCATATTTACTTGACTTTTATTTAATAATATTAACATTTATATAATTTAAATATTCAATGCTATTTGAAATCTCAAATATTTGCAGTAAATAGTTTATCAGTGTGCAATATGATAACATTTAATATCAGCTACCAAAAAGTATCATGTCGAGTTAGAGTAAAGGTTATCATAAATAAAACAAAGTCAACATTACATAATATATTATCTATAACTAGAGTACACTACAACACTACCAACAGCGGCCATCGCTAACAGCTGTTTATATTTAAATGCATTCCGTGAATATAAAAATATATTTATCGATATATTTACATTATAAAGTATCGATACAACTTAATCCCTAGTGATGATACTTCAATTATTAAACATCGTTGTTCATTATTTAACATTTTGTACTTAAGTTTATTTTGTCTTTATACGCTATATATTGTTTAGTTCATCGTATTAATCAGTTTTTTATAATCTAAGTATATTAATATATTTTAATCTGTACAGTTGTTGTTGTATATATTATATATATTAATTCATTTGGCACGGCGTCAGGCGGGCGACGGGTTCTGTAATATAAATGGTCATTTTCATCAGTACAGTGTGTGATAATCGCGAACCATTTCTTCTTTCACACACTAAGTCACAGTCTATAACACTCCGAGTCTCTATAATGTTGAATGCTGAAGCTTCGGCTTGATGAAATTATGTATGGGGTGTGTATGGAGAGGCGAGAATTAATTTAATATACAAATACATTTCTGAAAAAAACTGCCTGAAAAAATACAGTGTCGGTATCCTTCAGGTACACTCGCGTGACCTGTAGGAGTGGAGGCGAGTCGTAATACTTACCAGAGATGTAGTGAGCGCTTCATAGAGCAGACTGGAGCGAGGCGCCTCATCTACTCTAGTAACATAGAATCAACACATTAGACTCAGTCGGGACACACACATACAAAAACCCACTATAAATACTCCTCCGACAACAACATATATAATATAACAGTCAATAGATATAGTAATCAACATAAAAGTGAGATCATTTTAAGTTTATGAAAACTGAAATAATCATATTATTTAAACAACCAGACACATCGGATTGTGTCTCATTAACATATTCTTCAATTATTAGTGTTAATTCCTTGTATGATCAAAGTTATTTAAACTTTAACAAATATAATAAAATGTTTTCACTGACCTGTATCATATATATAGAGCACCTGCAACATACAAACATTATTATATAATATATATTATATCTCACCTAGCTATCTTCCTGGCCGACCACTTCCTTGTATCGAGCAATCATCAACTTCTTGACTGTGTCTCTGTAAGTAAGACCGGGTGTCGGAGTATATATTCCTCGTTTCTGTCCGAGTCCAGCCAAACTTGGCCGTTGTTCGGCTTCAATGGGATTTATTCTCCCTTGTTCCTCCTTACCGAGTCCTCTTCCTTCCGACCAACCCATGTTCTTCAACATTTTTCCACCGATTGTATCTATGACCGAGGGTGGTGGGTGTGACATGACCTGTGAATGTATTTCTGGTTCATAACGTTTCCTGATAGGCGGAGGATCATCTTCTCCGAACTTCATCCTCCTCTCAGCCGCTCGATCTCTATAACCATTTGTTTGTGGTAATAATTCATTCTTCTTCCTGTGCTCAGCCAAGTTCTGTTTGTGCAAATCTGATAGATTTTTATGTTTCGTCAACACATCCACTGATGGGAATTTCCGTTTGCACAACAGGCAGGTTAATTTGGACCAGTCAATGATGCCCTCGTCTGTGTCAAAGATGTTTGTTTCATTCTTCTTTAAAAGGAAGTCATCGGTGGAGATGACCGGTGGAGGAGAGAGTTCTCTCACATGTGTTAAGGACGGCCCCGCACCTAGAACTGAGAACCCAATGTCAGCGGAACCCTTACTGGCGCTCGTGTCTAAAGGTTGCTCCATAACATAGTTGCTCTTAGCGTTTTCTTTCTTTTGGTTCAATGTTTTGGCCCATCTTTCCATATCTTTAGCTATCTTTTTGGCTACTTTGACTTTGTCCTCCTTATCTTTCTTTTTCTTTTCCTCCGGTTCCTTCGTGATAGTGTTACCGGCTGTAGGGTCGGGCGGGTTCTGTAGTTTAGGTTGGTCGGAGTTAGTTTGAGTCTGCGAAGCCGCGATATATGTTGACGTGGCCGCATCCCAATACATATACTGGTTGATAGTGCTGTTGTAGAAGTACTGCGTGTTTCCGTCGTAGTAAAGACCTGTGGCGGGGTCGTAGTAGTAGCCGGAAGTCTCGTCGTACATGAAAGTCCTAACATCCGGTGCGGAGTAGACCGTTTTACCGTCACCTGTAGGTACATTGGCGACTGGTGTAGCTTGTGATGTCGAGGATACGAACACAGGCACTGAGACAGGGGTCCAGGACATTTGGCGAGCTTGAGCGGCTGTGATAGCTGACTGAGCGACCGCCGCGGCCGCGTTAACTCGGTCAGCCTCTGACATAGACTCTCTAGAGTAATTCGACATCTGGTTGTAATAATTCGGATAATCCGTGTGAGGCTTCTGTGCTTTCTGTGGTTCATTGTAAAACGATATTAGAACTTCCCTGTTGTCTATCACTAGTGGTGGGTCTAAGGAGAGTAGTTCGGAATGAGCGGCCGTGGAATCGGCTAGGGAATTGAAATTTATGTACGCGAGACACTTGGACGCGCCTGTCAATGTCTCCCGGCCGACTTTTATACCTGCAATGGAATCTAGCACCGATTTAGAACATCTTTCCTTCACCACTTCCAAGATTTTCTCCTCCGTAGTCAGAGCGTCGAGTCGTCTGAACAGTAAACGCTTCGTGATGCCCGCGTTACACTCTGAAGCGGTCTGTCCGTCGCCGTATACGACGCCCTCGGACCTTTTGCCTGAACAGTTACGTCTGTAGCACACTTGACGTCTCTTAAAGTTGTATGAGCCACACTTGCACACCCAGTCGCCAGGAGACGCGTTGACCGATTGTTCGTCTTTATCTCGATCGTATTTGTGGTCGAAGTCTTTGTATCCGCGGTCCCGGCTGCCCGAGCGACTCCGAGACTGAGTCTCCGTAGTTTCGTAGTCGGCGCTTATCTTGGGAGGTGAAGGAGCGGCTGGTATGTCCCTATCCTCTAGTCGTCGCGGCGACCTCCGCCTATCCCGCTCGCGATCCCGTTTCTCGTATCGTCTATTATAACGGTCACTATCCCTATCCCTATCCCGTCGGTCTCGGTCATATCGCTCGTGTCTGTCCCGTCGATCCCGCTGTCTGTCCCGCGGGGACGGCGGCCGTCTGTCGGGACTCTCGCTGCGTTTCTCCCACACGGGCGAGCGTTCCCTGTTCTCGCCCCAGCGGGTGGTCCGCTCGTCTCGTCCGCGCCACGACATTGCAACTTCCTGCGAACATCGTTCATAATGAAACAGTACTCACAACTCTGACGATTTCCCTTTGATCGACTCGCCTAGTACCTAGCGACGTTCTAAACCCTTGTCTTCGCTTTGTTTACCTGCAGAAATATCCAAGATTTGCCTTCTAATACAATAGATCAGTTAAAAGATATCGATATGTAAAGTAAAATTAAAACCAGAAGCGAACAAACGCCATGTTTTTTACAATTACAGTCGACAGATTCCTTTCTATTAATGTTGCCATTTCCGTAGTTCAAAAATTAATACTTCATTCACTATAAACATTAATACTTCATTCAATAAAAATTAATTGTAGTTAAGATTTTTTTTTTGTTTTACTAATAATAACTAAACAAATATTAAAGATATTAATTATGAACTCATTTGTAATATAATAAAGACGTTTCTGTGTCTTTGTTTTTACATTTAAAATCCGAATTATCGTTTTTACTCATACGAATAAGTGTATCAACGTATCATGCGCATATTTATGACAATTTAAAAAAAATATTTGATTTACAGTATATATTTTCAATAGTAAGTGGGTTACAAGTGCCAGTCACTGTTGAAGCTTCTCTCCCTGCAACGATGGACACGGCATCCACACGGTGAATCCATGGAATGATGAGAGATTTCATCTCTTTAGTCATGATAATTAGGCCAGTGCAGAAGCCTTTAAAATTAATGAAAACTGAAAATAAATTATAGTAGAATGAAACTCATTATAAAAGGAATATTATAAAAATTAAAGGAAAAATAACACTGGTCAACAAAATTTTAACTTTTTAATGCCACACAGACTTTTTGTTATTTTTTACTTTATTAGGTAATTATAAAACCAAATAAACAGTTAAAAAAAAGTTGCTGCCCCAGAATTTTTTTCTATTGAGTAATTAAAAAATTAAGAAAAAACAAGGATCTAGTAAATAAAAAGTTTTTTTTCTAAACGACTGAATGTAATTTAAGATTTTCTCGAGTATTTAGCTTCTGGTTGGTCTCTTTTAATTGTCCAGCAATAAGCTGCTAACTTTTCTAATATAGAATGGGCCCAAATGGGCCCAATTTGCCTTGGTAGAGCTTTTTTATATTAGAAATTTCCTGATGGAGTCTCTCACCATGCTCGTCACTGACAGCCCTTGAATTGTCTGGAAAACATCCAGGTGAGAGTCTAAAAAAAAAATTTAAGAGAAATGTTGCGACCCAATCCTTGATATGACAATAGTAGCTCGTTACCCAACTCTCACTACTTAACCATCACTCTCGTTTTATGATGTAGCAAATTCCATTGTTTTAGACGGGATCCTAGTAGTTCTGACTACTTTTTGATAAATTTCAATTCTAAACCAAATCATTTAGGTCTCTTTGAGTTATCTAGTGTGGCTTGTTTACAATTTCTACAAACTCAAAGTCATCATCCTCTTCAACACATTGGCCTGAAGTTGACGGTTGTGAATGGTCGCTCTCAACAGATGAATTTATAACTGGTATTTGTTTTGTAATTTTTTTACAATTAGAGACTGGTCTTATAGCCGAAGATAAGTTGGGGTAAATAACTGTGTTTTTCTTTTTGTAATTTATACCTTTTATATCAGTGAGACAAAAATAACTATCTGAAACGTGATCTCGCCGTTCAGTCCATATCATAGGTACAGCAAATGGCATAGGGCGTACACCTCTCTTCCAGTCAATCAAATTTTTCACACACGTTATGTAGCAGACATGAGGAATTTAGGATTTGTCTTGATGGGTGACAGAAAAACAGAAATATTGTTGATAACACTCTAACACAAGAGTCGTCAAAATTCGTCATTGTTTTTTAAATGTTAATTCCCCGCAGACGTAACAAAAAGAGTTATAATCATTATTACGCTTCCTCGACATGTTCACAAGATTAATGATTCATAAAAGAAAAATTAAATTTAACGACAAATATTTTTATAACGATTGACTTGTAAGCGTATCTGTTAATTAACAGCCGCAGTACTAGTTATGAGAATTACCGTATAACAACAAATATAAGGCTAACTGACTTGTGAAAACTATGATTTAAGAATGAAGATAGATTGATAAAACAAAATTTGTTATCAAAGTTCATGTGGCAAAACCAGTGTTGACCAGTGTAATTTACGGGTGATCTTAGGTCGGGAAGGGTGTGGGGGTGGGTATTTAAGGGTAAAAAATGTGTTTTCCGGATTTCCGGCAAAACTAAAAGTCCTAAGAAAAAATGTTATATGGCAAAGTTGTAGGTAATAAAGGGATCTCAAACTTTTGTCCTAACATTTTTTTCATGTAACCTCAAAATTTATGTGAAAAATTCTAAAAACCAAGTTTTTGGTTTTTTATTTTTATCTCTTACAAAAAACAATTTTTTGTCACGAAATTTAATGAAAACTTTTCTTTTGATATTACAAATGTACTGTAATTTATTTGATTAGAAATATTTATTTTTTCAGCTTATTTTGAATAAATATCGAAAAATAAGCCTCATTTTCAATCGAAAAATCACCTGTCAAAATATCAGCGTTTTTCAAAAATTTGGTGTGTTTTCTGTTTGTTGAAATCTCTATTTTCCGATGGTGAAGGAAAAAATATAAGTTTCTTACTTGCAGTACCATTTTTGGATAAAATAATAATGTCCCTTTTAATGAAATGACACTCGATATCGTTTAGAAAATGCTCTTTCAATTTATTTTTAATAGTTTTAGCAGCTACATCTCAATTTTATGTAAATTACCTAAAAGAGGGACTATATGGAGAACTTCCAAAGTACACAACTATTAAAAATAAATTTGAAAGAGCATTTTCCAAACGATATCGAGTGTCATTTCATTAAAAGGGACATGATTATTTTATCCAAAAATGGTACTGCAAGAAGGAAACTTTTATTTTTTTCTTCACCATTGGAAAATAGATATTTCAACAAATTTGAAAACATACCAAATTTTTGAAAATAAGTGATATTTTGACGGGTATTTTTCCGATTGAAACTGAGGCTTATTTTTCGATATTTATTTAAAATAAGCTGAAAGAATAAATATTTCTAATCAAATAAATTACAGTGTATTTGTAACATCAAAAGGAAAGATTTACCAAATTTTGTGACAAAATATTGTTTTTTTTTGTAAGAGATAAAAACAAAAAACTTGGTTTTTCGAATTTTTCACATAAATTTTGAGGTTACGTGAAAAAAATGTTCAGACAAAAGTTTTAGATCTTTTTATTATGTACAACTTTGCCATAAAACATTTTTTTGCAGGACTTTTAATTTGCCGAAAATAAAAAAAAAACATTTTTTACCCTAAAATACCCACCCCCATACCCTTCCCGACCTCAGATCGCCCGTAAATTATTTTTCCTTTAATTTTTATCATATTATCCTCCTTTTCTAATAAGTTTCATTCTACTATATTATTTAATTATGTTTTAAAAGCTATCGGCACTGGTCTAAATAGGAAATCAATAAAGAAAACTATGATAGCTGTAGCTATATTTATAATGCGCCCATAATTTTTCTGTTAATCACTGAGGAAAATATTAATATAATGAATCACTTGGAAAATAGAATAAATATTTACACAATTAGTTGAAGCAAGCCGAGGAGAGATCACCGGTGTATTAACTTAGGGACCATAGCCAGATGTCTTCTAATATGATAGATGAATTAAAAACTCGATGCGATATAATAAAAATTTCGCTTTAAAAACTACTTTTAATATATTTGCATTAGCTTAAGTTGCAGTTTCCCTTTTTTAAGTATGATTTAATAAATGGCAACATCGTCTCAAGTTTAATTATAGATTAAAAAATAGAGACGTAATATAATTTTGTAGGCTAGTATCACCTAGTTTTTATTACTGAGCCTATTTAATTCTCCAAATTTTACATAATAATAACTAATTATATTAGTCGTATAATTTGCAACGAGGTTTTATAGAATTATATATTTTTTAACTAGGTATGTAAAATTGAAACATCATTTTCAGACCACAGTAATGTTTATTATGCTTCAGAGTAAATACAAATAGTAACTATTTGAAATACATGTATCAAGGGTTACATATATATGTAAATCGAGATTTTTATTTCCATACTATCTTGTTGTTCTTCAATCAGACGCCATTTTCCTGTTGAACTGGTTATAATTCTTCGTTCTTCTAAATTCTTTTCAAGCTCTTAAAATCTCGGTTGTATATAGCTTATAAAACATAGATATAAATCCAAGCTGTTGTCTAACTTCTACTTATATCATTATATGAGTACATTGTCATACAATAACTACAACTAGACATATATACTAATGTATAAAAGGTTTAAAAGACGTTTATTACGAGTATATATTAATAGTGGAGTTTCAAAATTTCTTTTCCTTATATATTGTTTAAGGAAAAGCATTTCGTAACTCATAGTTCAAGTTATATTGGATACACTGTTAATATTAATGTATGTATTATAAGAGAGTCAAAAGATTATATGTTTATTATTTTAAGTATATTAATAATGTTATTTATAAGTGACGAGTGATCGCATTCCTTTTAATTTGATTAAAACATTGAATGCGATGTCTTTTGGCTGTTGTTGATACTTATAAAGTTTATTTACAGATGACGATGAGATCGATGAGTTAAGATGAGATATATTCATCGTGACGCTAGAATAGCGACATCTATCGCATGTTATGTACAAAATAAGAAACTCATAGACAGATTGACGTACATACATACATGTAATGATCTTAATATACAATATAAAACATTATAATACAAGATGATAGATGCAAACAAAAACTAAACAAATATAATAATGATTTTGATGGTTTTTATAATAAATGAATGTATGGAAAACGTAATGTAATGAGTTAGTGTTGTTATATGACCGATGGAATTTAATTGTTGGTTTAAGACTTTTGTTGATTTTTGGATAATTCTAGATCTTCAGATTTTGTTTACTGTTGTTTCTACTAACTGTAATTAATGTATTTTATCTTGATATAATTTAACATCAGTTGCAATATTGAATCAAATTTTTTACACATGTTTCAAATATAGTAAGTATTAAATGTATTATCAATAAGTTAATATTCAATTGTGAATGCTTCAAACTGTCTATCATATATTATCGGGATAGTGCAAATTGCAACTATCATTGGATAATTCCTTGTATCTACATTACAAGCAGATTATAAGAAAGTTTAAGCTGAAATATTTTCTATATAAACAACTTTTAACGCAATTTTTTCACTATTAATAATTATTTAGTGTTTAAAATTACCTTAAAAGTTATTAATATAGAAAATATGCCTGCTCAAACTTGTGATACTGTGTTTCTGATGTAGATATATGTAATATAGTATATCGGTCATATATCAACACTATTCTAAGTCTTGTAGATACATTCTACTCATGTTGCCCAGTCAACAGATGCTCCCTCAATGTTGAAATCTCCCTCTCTATATTCGCTCGAGCTATCGGCTCAAGATTTTCAAACTCAGGGGTGTGGTACAGCTTCGGTATCTGTGAGAGCTGGTTCAATACCTGTAAGGAATATATAATGTTGTTATATGATAGTGGCAACCCTAGCTAACTGTTAGGTAATGTGTTGCTAGGTCATATAGAGGTTAAAGTTGAAAATAATTAAAACTAGTGTACTTTAGACAAAAAGACTGAAGTAAAACTTCTTTTGCTCCATATATCTTTATATATATAATTTTTCTGTTAGTGTGTATGTCACTGAACTTCTCTCAAACGACTGGATCGATTTTGATGAAATCTTTTGTGTGTGTTCAAGGGGATCTGGGAATGGTTTAGATTCACAATTTTGTACGCTGGACAATGTTTTTTTTAATTAATTTTTAATTTATTAGTATTTGTTGATACAAACGTTTTTTTTTTTGACATTAGATTTGACAATTAACTAATATGTCAATCATTCTGTAACACTTCAAAACACGGAGATTTATGGCTTTAATAGGTAAACTCCAAAAATATAAAAAAACGTAGTAGATATTTCTTGATTATAGGGCGATACGATGTTCGCCGGGTCTTCTAGTATACATTTATATCCATGCATCCATCCATCATAATGATGATGAAAAAGAATTTATAATGAATCGTAAGTCTCTCTATCTATCTATACTAACTTACATCGCCCTCTCACTTTCATTCGTTTCGCCCGATCACACTTTTCGTAACGCATTCACCATCTTACTCCCAAGCGTGATCAAACAAGTTTTATTTCAATACATCTTCAATCTTTATATATATAATTCTTCTGTGTGTGTGTATGTAACTGAACTTCTCTAAAACGACTGGACCGATTTTGATGAATTTTTTTCTGGGGATGGTTTAGATTCACAAAAGAAAAATAAAGAGTATTATATAATCCATGTAAAGTATTCGTTACCTTGAGTCTCAGCTCCACATAGTTCTTGTGTGTGAGTGTAGCGTACTCAGCCCGGACCAGTTTAGCGTGAGCTTCATACTCCTCCCTCCTCGCCGCTAGTACAGCCAGCTCGCAGTCACCGAACAGCTGGACGTCGCGCACAGACGCGCCATTACCTACTGGCTCTGAAAAAAATAATAATATTATACTTACATTTATATTGAACTAGCTTAGAGTTCGGTTATATCGCGTTTTCGAGAAAACCTTTCAAACGTTTGGAATAAAAACTACCCTATGTTCTTTTTAAAGGTCAACTTTATGTCTGTACAAAATTTCATTACAATCAGTTCAGTGGTTAAGGCGTGAAGCGTAACAGACATAGACAGAGTTACTTTCGCATTTATAATATAGTAGGGATTATTATAACTTATGAGAGTAATTACTTTTCATCATTCAATATATTCACGGTGCGTGTGTCGGGTCCATCGTTGTAATGAGAGGAGCTTCAACAGTGATTGTGACTTGCGACCCAGGTGTAGGTTTAAAAGACCATATCTAACGCGTTAAACACTCACTACCGTCCAAGCTCCTCTCTACCAAATTTGAAAATAACCTACTAGACCTACTTTTGGCGAAAGTTCTAAGAATGAAATTATGTTAATTCTAGATAAGTCTTTTAGTAGGTTGTAGAGAGATTTGGCTCCTATACCTCTCGCTCCTACTTAGTGAGTACGTCATACTTATTGACCTTATAATTCTTTAAGAAGTTCAGTAACTTCTTTTAATGGAGTACATAAGGTAATAGTCATGTGTCATATTGTGTAGTAGTAGTAGTATCATGTATAGTGTAGTGTATGTACCTGGTAGTCCACCCGAGTCCCCACAGCTGCCGCACCAAGCCTCGTCGTCAGTCAACAAGGCCAGGATATACGACGTGAGGTCGTGCTGAAAACATATAGTAATAATGTTCAAATAACTTCATCCCATCCAATTATTGATACTTACAAATACTATAACATATTATGTTATGTGCCGTGTGTTAAAATATTGATTACTTATAAATTATGGCTTTTTAAATATTTAAAATAATCTCAAAAGAAAGTAATCAATATATTAATTTATGCTATACATTTTTATTCCCATTTCGTACATATTATCATTCAGGGCATTGGAAATTTCGTTACTAAAAAAAATCCCAACTGGATAGTCATATAATTTTGTAATAAGTTCCATATATTCTGGTAACACTGAAAAAGTGACTTATGTCAAACATAATATAACAAACACAAATCTTCTCAGGTAACATGTATGACCATCGACATATATTAATAGACATGCCGTACGCGTATAATTTGCAGTATTTTTTGGTTTGAAAAGAGTGAGAGAGATGGCCTATGCTTTCGGTCTAGCACTATCTCTTTCCCCATAGATGATTGGCGCTCAGTTTTCATGACAAGCATGGCATATAAATTATCCAGTAGGGGCTCAACGGTATTATTTTGATAGAGATAAAGATAGACCGAAACTTAGTTTCCTCTCTTTCTTTCGGAGTGCCACAATTCTCATCTCTAAGGCATGTCTAAGTATATGTTGATGTGTATGACTACAAACTGTCAGTATGCGTGTGTGTGTGTGTGTTTGTCTTCACTCACAGACTGCGGGTGTAGTTGTAACAGATCAGCCAGGAGCCTCGCGGTGAGCTCGGCCGGCGTGTGTCTCAACACGACCGCTAGCTTGAAGGCGGCCGGGTACTGCACGTCTATTGTACCCTTGGCAAGGAGGTTCTGCCATACACCCGCCTTAAAAACGTTGTTTAATATTGTAGGAATATAAAAACATTTAAATAAAACTAATATATTCAGATTACTATACGTATTTTATTGAAGTAAAACTTGTTTGCGCACGATTGACTTGGGAGCGTTGGTAAATGCGTGACGAAAGCGTTACGAAAAGTGTGATCGGTCGAGGCGAACGAAAGTTGGGAGGTATATATAAGTTAAAAAGATATATATAGAGAGAAGTGTTACTGTTCGTATATTAGTATAGGGGCAAGGGGGAAGCAATGCGCGATCACATTTTCCAAAGTTAAATTATAATCTGTTTTCACAGAGATTACTTGTAGACAATAAAACCTTATTAGTGACAAACACCAAGACAGTGAGATTGTAATCAATTATTATTAATAATTCAACTGTATCAAATATCTAATGTTTTTAAATATTTCTTATATTAATCAACAAGTTATTTCAATATGAGATCCATCAATTTTAACTATAATAAACCCTGACTGTGCTTATTCTGTTATCATGAAATTGTAAATAAATGAATTTATATTAACAAAGTTTTCATTATGAATCTGATAACAGTAAATAATAAATTTTTCATACATAAACCAGTGTCCATACTATCATGTTGTAAGTTCTGTATGACTAAGAACTCCATGTATATAGTTAAATGAAGCACACTTGTGGTACACATACTATACACCATTTTGAGATTAACATTAGAGATCTATTACTGGCACATGAATAATGTTCTTGATGAAGAATCTAAAGAATAGTTTATGATGACCAGTGAGGTTTCAAGAAAATATTAAAATAATTGATATAATATTTAAAATATTATAAGAGTATAAAAAGGCAGACCCTTGCTAAAGCTGGGAAGTAGCCAGGAAGAAGAAGAAGAGTATAAAAACTGATGTCATTTAATTATAGATAGTAAATCAGATCTCAATAGTGTGCTCTTAAACCCTGTTAAGTCTACCAACCAATTTTTAAATATTTCCTATTTTACAAGTATTTCACAGATACAACAAGAGATTTCAAAAATTAAACCTTTCATTCTATTGATGTGTACTTGTTATGTAAACAATGAATGTGATTTTACCATAACCATTCTGTATGTAAAATAACCATGTAAATTTTTACAGTGCAATAAAGAGTATAACAATATTGTTAAATAGAAAATGTTTTGAGGAATGGTGTATCTTCATACTTGGGTGATGAGAAACTATTTTTAAATGTTCCGAGTAAGTCACATGTAATTTTCTATTGTTCTCAATACAACACTTCACTTCTTCTTACATTTTAGCGTTGTATCAATCATATTTTTAACAACTAAACAGAAATATTACTGTAAGAGTTCACTCTATATGTTCCACTATAAAAAATGAGCTGGAGTTGACAAAAGTTAATCATTTAAAGTACATTTGAATTTTCATCTGCTTTAACCGTCCGTCCGTCCGTCCGTCCGTCTATCGCATGTCGTATTGCAGTCGAAAATTAGTGGGGGTAAAATTATAGATGCTCAATCAATCTCAGCTCAGTTCAAATCAGTTGATTATGTAAGAATTTAACAGTATATGTTTGTTGAAATGAGTGATTTAAATAAATATTTTATTATATGATGTGTCTAATATGCCTTTTATCTAAGTTGCTGTATTTCTAAAGTATTCCTTGCCCAAACAGTCAGATGAAATATGAAATTTATAGTTTGTAATTTCTTATTGCAAATACAAATTATTGAATTATGGTAAAAATTTCTTTAAGTCCTGATTAATTAATTCAACATCTGTTTCATTCCCATCTTTATTTTCAAAGACAACATAAACATTTTATCTACACTATAACATACTCAGATTCTAGAAAGTTCCCTCATCTTTGTTTAGTAACTCAAAAACAATTTAGTTGATTACTTACTTTTCACCCATATGTCAAACTGTTGTTAAAGGTGTAATTTTATTAGTATTCATTTAAATAAAGACGAGACAAAAGAAAACTTCTCATCATTCCATATATTCACAGTGCGTGTGTCGAGTCCATTGTTGTAGTGAGAGGAGCTTCAACAGTGACTGTGACTTATGACCCAGGTGTAGGTTTAAGAGGCCCTATCTAACACGAGTTAAACGCTCACCTCCACCGTCCAAGCTCCTCCCTCTACCAAATTTAAATAGAACCTACTAGGGCTGTCTTCGAAGTATGTTCTAAGAATTGATGTTACTTCTGCACAGGCCCAAATCCTTTAGTATGTTGTTTCATAGCTACTCATAGTAATTCGACTAACATTAGTTTCTTTTCAAATTTGGTTAGGTAGGGAGAGGAGCTTGGACAGTGGAGGTGAGCGTTTAACGTGCGTTAGATAGGAACCCTTAAACCTACACCTGGGTCACAAGTCCCAGTCATTGTTGAAGCTCCTCTCACTACAACGATGGACCCGACACACGCACGGTGAATACATTGAATGATGAGAAGTTTCGTCTCTGTATTACCTGATAAGCGACACAGTTCCTCAGTGAATGCCACACAGCGTCCGAGGGTGAAGCGTCCACCAGCTGCTGCCAGGCCTCCTCAGCCGCGGGCGCCGCAAGGGCTCCGCAGGCCGAGCGCCACATACGGGACGCAGCGCAGCCCTCGCGCTCACCTGACACTGGGACGGGCACATACAGGGAGATACGTAGTATACGAAGAGGTGAGGTGGAGATGAGACAAGATAGAAGAGATGGAAGGAGATGAGACGAGATAGAAGAGATGGAAGGAGATGAGACGAGATAGAGGAGATGAGACGAGATAGAAGAGATGGAAGGAGATGAGACGAGATAGAAGAGATGGAAGGAGATGAGACGAGATAGAGGAGATGAGACGAGATGGAAGGAGATGAGACAAGATAGATTGAAATGAGACAAGATAATGGGAGATGGATTATCAAACAAAGGATCCAAATAACATGGTTACATGTTCAGTTTATACTTGTTTTCATTCCATTATAAAATTTAATTTAAATTGTAACTCAATGCAAAATCGCGAACAGGACCAGTGCAAAAACTAGTACATATAATAAATTTATTTTTTATCTGTAGGTATTTAATATTGGTTGACTTTATTCTCATCGAATGTGAAATGTCATGAATATGTATTTTGTGTATTTGGAACCATCAAAGGGGGGAAACCATTCCATTATTAAATTTTGGTAATTTATATATATTTATTAAACGCATCTATTATATTATGTTGATGCTAAAAAGAAAATTATGAACATATTTCATTATCAGCAATATTTTTTTTCACAGTAAGCAGGCCTCGAAGCGCTATACTTTGTAATTTATTTTTCATGCATAATCAATAAACATTATTCATAATATCGTAACATTCGCAGCAAATTATATTTATAATTCAAAATTAAATTCATAAATATGTATAAAAAAAGAATAACACATCTGTCAATATAGAGAAGCAAATAAAAATGTAAGCATCAATGCTTCAGCAACATACAAATCGTGAATCACCTCCCATACTTGTTCGTGGCCACTAATTGATCTGATGATGAGAATTCTTCACTGGACCACCTTCGAAATAAATAGAAAATCAATGACCGGGCCGCGCAACCGTTAACAAAGCAGACGGATCAATAGCATGACAGGTAGATATTACAAACAAAATCACTTCACGATACAACTTAATTATGATATTTAATGAGGTTATCAATTATTTAATTATTAACTCACCTCGACTGACGATACGTGAGATATAAAACGGGTAATCACGAACACTGGTGATTTATAATGAGACTAACACTCCCGTCAAAGCATCGAACGCGAAACTGGAGAGTAATGGCGGCGGCCGGCGCCCGCTTGGTGATTAGGGATGTGTAAATGCATATCGATAAAAAAGCTATATAAACTTTATGCAATTTTAATGTAATATTTAGTTGTTCAGTTGGCACATTACAAGTGTATTCGTTCAGAATATCAATAAGTTTAAAAATATGCAGTAATAACAATATGATATAGTTATACAAGTTTTTTTTACATTTCTTTGAAATATAAGTTTATTAGATAATTTATGTATCAAATTATAAGTTATAATTTTAATTGATTTCTTATGTTGTATAATGATCCTTTTCAGTTTTTAGTTTAGCGTGTCTTAAAATAAGTACATTTTATATTTCCTATTTCAATTAAAAAAGTTATTATTAATATGAGACTTAAATGTTTACTTATATAAAAGACATGAAATTATAATCATTCAATTCCTCAGCCTCGTGTGGATCCAATGACCTCCTTAAAGGTCATTATTGCAAACTGTAATTTTGTATGCTTACATCTTTATCCAAGGTGACTTTAAAGTTCATTGTACTGATTTCTAATTAATGAGTAGGTATAATAAATAATATATTAAAATTGTGACATTGAAACAGTTGTTATATCGTCTTATTAATAAGAGTTAACAGGACTTGTCATAAAGGTAATAAAGATTATTTGAAATTACCAGATTTTGCTTTATACATGTTATTTATTCATAATATTTCATCGATAATCTGTATGTTGTCAATCACTTAAATTAAGGGTGGAAGCTTTGACGCAGGCGCTAAACTACAAAATGAAAGATGCATTTAATAATATACTTTATTTATTTGTATCAAAGTCTATTTTTAAAGTAGTAATTATTAGGTAAAATAGATTTTCTGCAAGTCAATACTCGATATAATTAATACACTATAATCTATAGCCTATACATGCACACATCGTCTGATGAGTTATAGATAGGTTTCAGTATTGCATGGGATATAACTCTTCCCATATAGGAATGCGTTCTTCTTTCATATTTTCTTTGATAGCGAGCTGTTTACCAAAGTCTAAATATGTCCTTTTCTTTGGGGTCATGGCCGGCCAGCTGAGACCTTGAAGTTCGGGAGTATCGTCTCGTGGATTTGGGTCTCTGAAATAAAAAAAATGTATTCTAACGCCTGCCAAAAATATCATTACTAACATAATCAGCCTATCAGAGCTCACTACTGAGCAAGGTCTCTTATCACATGGAGAAGGTTTGAGCATTAATCACCACGCTCGCTCAAGACGGGTTGGTGATTTCAAACTTATAATTTGATATAAGTCCAGGTTTCCTCACGATGTTTTCCTTCATCAGTCATTGGTGTCTAAATTACATTGGTGCTTGCCAGGTTTCGAACCCGCGCCCTCATGCAAAGGCGAGCCTTTAACCTCTACGCCACTACGACTGATATACTGTTGCACTAAAATATATTGATATTTATCGATTAATCTAAATAATTACCCGTATCTAGCGAAGTTGTACCATATAGCTGTCAGTCTATCCACGGCATTTCCATCAGGGCCGTTAGTGATGGAAGGAAACCGGTAACTCAGGGTGAAGAGATAGATGAGGTCGTCGTGATGAGCGGCACCTACGATATGATGTAAGGATTTAAAACAATTAGGGATTATGAAGTTGTTTTATTATAATCGAAGATATAAATTATGTACTAACATTAATATTAAGATAACTAACACGAAACAGTTGGTAATAGTAAACAATTGAAACTAGTATTTTCGGATTTACTACGCGATTTTTTATTGTTGATTATAAACCACATACTCCCGACGTTTCGGTTACTTTACAGCAACCGTGATCATGTAAAGTAATTGAAACGTCGTAAGTATGTAGTTTATAGTCAAAAATATAAAATCGGGTAGTACTTAAATCCGAAAATATTAGTTTCATTTAAATTAGTACTCGTGAAAATCTTAGATCTCATTAATAGTAAACAAGATTTGTACATTATATTACAGTACTAATATCATTGTAATTCTAAAGCATCAAATAAAGGTTATTATTATGTACACATAATTAACAATTTATTTACATTATCGGAATTCTGTTGACACTTAAGTGTACCATAGCTCAAGAGATTTTGAAGAATTGAATTCACTTTAACAAACTTTAAATCTTTTATTTCTGAAGTATCTAATGACTAATGACTGATGACAATTATTTTATTGAAAAAGAAGACGTAAAAGATTTCTGATTTCTTCTGGTCAAAAAAGAGCAATCGAGAAGACAGTCTACAAGATGGGCAGTAGTCCCTTCGCCTATAGACATTCGAAACATATCTTATATTGCGAATGCGTTGCCAACCTTGGTTGTTTATGAAGAGGGAGGGGTGGAAAAAAGGAAATGGTAGGAAAAGGATGGGAACAGGTAAAGAGCAACCGTCTCTCTCACTCATCGTAAACGCAGCCATTAAAGGCTACTTCACGCCGATCTTCTGTGAGAGGGTGGTACTTCCCCGGTCGAGCCAGCACTTATTCGAGCTGTAGTAACTGACCACAGCTAGGCTCTACCTATACAATATATGTTTCTTACCAACAGGTTTCTTAGTCACAGGGTCTTCATAATGGCTGTGTGCTCCGATGTACGTGAACTCGTAATACCAAACAGGGTGAGGTGAATGACGACACATTAAATTGGCCAGCCTGAATTATATGGATATAAAAAACTCATTAATTAGTTAATAGATTTCTTCAGTAATTTTAACAGTATTTAACTGAAGATACTGTTAAAATTGTATATATCACGTCAACTTTATATAATCCTTATGTCGCGAGTCAAATTAATTAGCCAATGATTGGATGTTTTTCAATCACTCTAAACTCTGTAACATAAAATAAAGATTTACATTAGGCAGATACATTCAATTTACGTATTTAGTTTTTATTTTTTTATACAATAAGGTAAACGTGAAGTGTTAGAATGGAGTAAAGAAGTATTCGTTTGTCCGCTGGTGTTATTAAAGTGAAGCTTCTTACTCGACTTTCAATAAGGTTGCGTTAAATGTTTAACGCTCCTTGGAGGGGGGAATGAAAAGAGACAGAGCAAAAAATAATGCGTAAGCTTAATCTTCTTCCTGGCAACCTCCCAGCTTTAGCCAGGGTCTACCATGCGTAATGTTAATTCGTAAGCTTAATAATTAACGTTAATAAAGTTTGTCTTAAAGAAACAAAATGAGTTCATTGAAAATCAATTTTTACTACATTCATTTTCATTCCAACATAACGAAGCTTTGTTTATTATTCTTTATAACTCTTGATTTCCTTACCTGTGTACTGGGAAGGATTCGATGGCGTCTGCGTATAATAAGCCCAAGTTAGCAGCGGTCTCTGCGTCATCAGCTAAGGGTTTATCATGAAGGTATTGTGTCCGTAATCTTCTAGAAGCATACCCAGCATATGTCAGGTTGTCTCTCGGTAACAGAAAAGATATTGGAGCGATACTTTCCCAGTTGGTATTCATTTGGTTTCGAAGCGTCTCGTTTTTAAGGGGGGCTGTGGATCGGAAGGTTTGTTTAAGTCATCAGGTAATATGAACCAATCACTGTACATCATTAGATTGAAGATCCAAGTCTTCAAATATATCTACAAGAAATTATTAGTTAAAACTAAAATATAAACAAGTTGAAGCAACAGAAATATCATCAAAATAAATATACTCGTACATCGTTTTAAATAGTTTTTGATACCAAATACTATATGTATTAAAATACTCTCATTATAAGGCGATTGCAGCTTTTATTTCAACAATGTTAGTTATATTACTTGTTTCAAACTTTTTATAAGAAGTTTTATTTGAATATTTTTAGGAACTTTTATGTTACTTTTACTGTCTTTTTTTACCAAATAATTTACTTGTATCATATATGTCTTTAGCAGTTTTTTTAATATTGCATCTAAGATGACATTACTCGCAAACTTTCATCTATTCTACCCAAATTCTAGACCCATCTCTTTATTGTAAGTTTGTTACTATCCTTTATATTTTCTGTTGATGCTATAACAAATATAATGTCCTTTACTCACTAAGAGCCATCCAGAAGAACTCATCCTTGGTCTGACTTATGATGTAAGGCACTGCTTGTATGTTGCCTGCTCTAACGGCATCTGCTGGTTGTACATGAAGGAACTTCTCTTGACCAAAATCTTTCTCCACCACTGGACTCCAGATTAGCACGGGATCGAAGCCAAACTCCTGGATTTATAACGAAACTAATATTATAATTGCGAAAATTTGTGAGTGTGTGTATGTTTGTTACTTCTTCACGCTCAAACGGCTGAATTGATTTTGATAAAATTTTGTATACAGCAAGCTGACCTCCAGGAATAACACGTAGGCTACTTTACATCTCGGAATGTTCGACCTGATAATCCGCGGGTAACACCGCGGGGCGCAGCTAGTAACGAAATATTGATTAAATAGGATTAATTGGAAGAAATCACACATGAATACTGTTTATTTCGAACAAAATGATATCAGAAGGTAATGCATAAAGTGTTAGGTAAATTAGGGCAATAAGAGGCGTTTATTATTTCTAATTCAGTTATGGTTCTACATGTCGCTTATATATGACAAAGTTGCTAACTTTTTGATAGTAAGAGACGTATGTAACTCAATGTGAGTTTTTTTATTATGTAATATATATTAATAAAGATAAACTTTGTCTATATTCACTCACATAGAATCCAAGTAAGGAGTCTCCAAGTTCCCTCCAATGCTTGGTCTTCAAACAGTCGATGATAACTTTTGAGTTGTCAGTGGGACAGTTCAGAAGCTGTGCTTGTTTGACGGCCAGGTTATACTGGTTGTCTTTGAGGGGCGCTTTGCCGATAGGAGAACCGCTCATAGATATCGCTTTGTGGAATAAACCTAAGAAAAATATGGATACCTTATTAAATGCTGATAGAATCGTTCTAGAAAACAAGATAATTGAAGATGTGAGTAATACTCACATCAGAAAGTACATATGACTCCGAAAAATCACATTGGTACTTGCCAAGTTTGAACCCGCGCCCTCGGAGTCATATGTACTTTCTGAGAGTATTGAGACACCACTGACAGACGGTGAAGGAAAACATCGTGAGGAAAGCTGGACTTATAGTTTCACAATTATAAGTTTGAAATCACCAACCCGCCTTGAGCAAGTGTGGTGTTTAATGCTCATACCTTCTCCATGTGAGAAAGAGGCCTTTGCTCGGCAGTGGGTTTCTGATAGGCTGATGACGATGACGACAACGTAATACTAACAGCTCGTTTATACAAGCAAATAAATAAGAATTGGATCTAAATCTATTCATGTGACTTTTTATAAGGATATTAAACCATACCTTTAGACATAGGGGAAACCATGTGAAGTAAGACACTGAAGGAACCAGCGCTGCAACCCGCGATTGTCACGTTGTCAGGGTCACCACCGAAAGCCGCGATGTTCCTCTGCACCCATTTAAGGGCTGCCACCTGATCCTTGAGGCCGTTGTTACCAGGGGCCAGAGCATCACCCGTGCTTAGGAAACCTGAAAGATAAGAACAAATTGGGAATCTTTAAGAAAATTGGGAAGATTGACGTGTGTTTGCCTATATCCTTAAGAATGCATAAAGTTATGTCAGGTCTACTGAAAGCCTGTTATTAGCGTAACGTTTCTGTACATTCACGAAAAAAACCGCAATTTATCTACGATTCTAGGCGAATGAATAAAATTTAAAGACTATAGTACACATGAAAAAAATGGTCACAGGCTCGTTTGAGCAATTTTCCACCGAAACACCTACCATAAAAGGAATTTATGTAGGTAAAAATCTAAATTAATAAATTTTTAGGTACCCGCTGATATCTGAAATTCTAACGCTTCTAATGTTGCTTTTTCTCACCTAAAGATCCAAGTCGATAGTTTATAGTGACGAGCACCACGTCTCTGTCTAACAGGTAGTGAGGTCCCGCGAGGTCACTGCGACCAGTCATCACGTAGAAACCACCGGCGTGGATGAAGAAGATTACCGGGAGAGGCTTGGACCTGGGGGCATTAAAATCTTAGTTGGTTAAAGACGAAAGCTTTCATGATTCAATGTATTCACGGTGCGTGTGCCGGGTCCATCGTTGTAGTGAGAGGAGCTTCAACAGTGACTGGGACTTGTGACCCAGGTGTAGGTTTAAGGTGCTCCTATCTAATAAAGAATCGTAGGTACTTCGATTCCTTTTACTTACATAAGTCTTCGTTGTGAACTATATCTCTACTGGTTTAATTTAGTTTTGAGTTAAATTTAAACACAAACAGTATTATTTCTTTTTCAAAAAAATATTTGAAAAGAATCTTGCAATAGCTAGCCTGTTGACTAAACTATGAAATATTTAATCAGTATCGAAAATCCTACTGGCTGTTTGAGTAACATCAACATTTCGACCAATTTGAAAATTCACTAATCCTGTTTTCTCTTTGTATATAAGTCATTATTATTATAAACTAGCTGCGCCCCGTGGTGTAACCCGCGGATTTCTGGGATGTAAAGTAGCCTATGTGTTATTCCTGGACGTCAGCTCCATGTATACAAAATTTTATCAAAATCGGTTCAGCCGTTTGAGTGTGAAGAAGTAACAAACATACACACTCGCAAACTTTCGCAATTATAATATTAGTAGGATAAGCAATACCTCTTAAATGATTCTAACTCGGAGATATTTTTCGTGTGAGGTAATACATTCTACGGACAGTATATGTTGTAAGTACCTGTTTTTCTTAAGCGGTGTATACACGTTGATAGTTAAGCAGTCTTCATCTACATAGTACCCTGGATCAGCCGGTAGAGGGCAGGCAGGTCCATCTTCACTGGCGTTAACTGGCTCCTTGTATTTTGTGATCAATACAGGAGGCTATTGGAAAAGATAACATTGATAAATTACTCTTATTTATTTGGTAATGATAATGATGATGAGGGATTTCCATAAGGAATAATATTGTAGAATTATTATATATCATTTCGTCTTTCAATTAAAGTTAAAAGATTATTTTCACCAAACAAAAAAGAACAAAGCTGACATCTAAAAATGTCGACTATGGACCAAGAAGTAAGTTAAAAGATCTAGTTAAATTAACTTGTAAGATAATGTGTCTATCAAGTTTAAAGTCTAGACTAGACCAAAAAGATTTCTCATCTTTAGCTCTCAATAACTTCTTAATATGGACCAAGGAGGTTTGTTGATGTTAAATTGTCAGTATAGAGTTCATAGCAATAAAAATATCGTCTTTATAGTCACCTGAAACCTTAGTTCGCCCACCGGTGGTTCAGCGTACCTAATGCCGCGGTAAGTTTCAAAGCGACGTCCACGTCTGGTCACATTATAACCACCACGGAACTCTCCTGACTCCGAAACAGTCACTGGAGGCTTATTATCTGCAAAAAACAGTACAAAAGGACTTAATGAGGTCAATGACTCCTAATTAGGTTCAGTAGAATAGAATAGAGGTGATAAATTATTGATATACTATTGTCTTCGGACGTACTTTCTATGTTAGAGGTAAGATTAGTGTGACCATTATGAAAAGCATTATAATTCTTGATGTTGTGTGATCTAAGACATGCCAGTATTCATTTAAATGAAACTAATATTTTGAGGATTACTATGTACGCGTATTTTATTAATTAAATACTGTTAGAAATATTTGGGCAGCACTTCCACTTAGATGTTAACTACTCCACAACTTGTAACCGAATCCCCAGTCTAACACTTGTATCGTATTTATAATTTTCAAAAGTAATATTGAGGTGAGGGTGGGTTAAAATATTCGGCGCTAGTTCCCGTCATAAGAGTTTCCATGAAATAATAAAACACTTAACATTGTGTAAAACATACTAAGACCCAGTTTCACCAATCATTGTTAAATAACTAACATCGTGTTAAGGTAATTGATGCTCTGTTAGATGTATCGGGCGTCCCACTACGCACAAATGTCCGTTTTAACCAGCCACTATTCACTAATATTAATTCCTGCTCTGGAGCTCCGTCTAATGGCTAACATGACTGTTAATGCATTGTCGAAACTCAATTGTCCAATCACAGCCCTCATTTCTTGTAACCATAGTAACGTCATCTGTTATGTCAGTTTCGACTATTTCCTTGTACTTATTAATAAAGTGAATTAAAATTTCATTTCCTATGATGATTTTGCCTCCAGCTTTTTTATAACATTGCAAATTAAATTTTCTTTTTATCTCTTATAATTTGAACACAATTTATGCCTATATTTATAACATAATAATATATAACACAATTTATTGACAACCCGATTTTGACAGGTTACACCTAGTAAATTGAAAAGAAGCTTTTTGTGTGCCACATGAATGTACACAACGACATATAAAATTTGGTCGCATTACCTAAAAAGTGACGTATCGAGGGATATATACGATTAAAACATAAAGTGGTGCATCGTGGCAAACGTGCCGTATTAAACGCTATAGTTTCCATTTGGTCGTCTTATAACAAGAACGAATAATTTTGTAGTCGGTCATTTGACATGACGTTTTATAATCCGTTGTTATTTTGTCATCGTGGGACGTAAATATTTAAACAGAGATTTATAATTTTGTAGGTTGGTTAGTAAATGCTGTGATTAGCTTAAACAAACATTGATTGGTGAAACTGGGTCTAAGGCTCTAATTATAAATTATAAAACCAATTGTTAAGTTTTTGGACATTTAAATTACTGTTCGGAAATATTATTAACATTAATTTACACTATTAAAACGAATACAGATAGCGATAGTTGACTATCATAAGAATTCCCAATAAATATTATAATACAAATAACGTGAAGCTTAGAATTGTGAAGTAGACAAATATTAAAATTATTATAAATAATTATTACTAACACTACATATTCCCGATTTTTCGGTTCCTTTGCATCAACTGTCATTATAGGCAGACGAGATGTGAATGTCTGACATAGGACATGGGAATCCGAAAATATTAGTTTATAGATATTGTTTCATTACAGTTTTATTTTTATCAATGACCACTCTTATGTACACACTTATAATAATTTGAAAAATAATCATTCTTGTTATACATAGGTATTGTCTGTAGAAGAATAAACCAAATCAACCTAGTCGTATTTAGAAACTTTTTAAATTCGATTGAAATTAAAATAATATTAAAAAAACTTTTACATAAAGAATTTAAAGCAGGTGCAGTTATATCCCGATAGATAACCCTTATGTTTATATCGTAACTTTTGTTTACAAACACAAGTATCATACATTATCTTAAAGAAATTTAAATAATAATGTCATTAAATGTACATTTAATGTTAAAATATTTTTTTATAATTATGGAACAATATATTTGGTTAAATTTATGAGTATTTAGTCAGAAATATAATAGTAATTAAATCGTTTAAAAAATTCTAAAGCTAATTGTACACAAGCTAAAGTGACGAATAATGTTTTCGTAAATGTGTGATATGATTATATGTACATTATTCATGATTTTCTACTAACCTGAGTCCTCATGATGATCATGATGATCATGATGATGATGATGATGATGATGATGATGGCTCTTCATACAAACAACACATGACGTCACCAGTAACAATAAACATATTAAATAGTTCATGCTAGTCAGTTAATCTGCGCCGGTTTAAAACACACTGACCCGACAGGAAAACAACAACACTTATATACAAGGGGATTTCGAACGAGGAAAAAGTTGCATATATCTTAAGACGTAGCTTCAATTATTATTTTTGATATCGCTGTTCAATATATTTTATCCCTACTAATATTATAAATGCGAAAGTAACTCTGTCTGTCTGTTTGTTACGCTTTGACGCCTAAACCACTGAACTGATTTTAATGAAATTTGGTATAGAGATAGAGTTGACTTTAAAAAAGAACATAGGATAGTTTTTATCCCAGACTTTTGAAAGGTTCTGTTCGAAACGCGATATAACCGAACTCCACGCGGGCGAAGCTGCGGGCGGAAAGCTAGTATATAAATAAATAAAAGGATATAAAACTTTATTCAGTTTATAGAATTCTTAGTGAAAGTACGAATATAATTGTATATCTATGTAGCTATGCTTTAGTTATCCACATTAGTTATCTTAATAAACAAAGGACACTCATTGCTTTACCGAGAAATGTTTTAAATTCGATGGACTTAACGCCTTTGTGAGAGCAAGTCTTTGTGAATAAGAGATTTAATGTACTGAAGATTTAAGACCTTGAATTAAAGTCTTGAGTCAATATTTGTATGTTAAATTTTCTTTATTTGTTATGTATCCATACAATGATTATATAAAGTTGTAATATATCAAGTTGTTTTTAAAATTAACATTTGAAATGCTACAGAAACTTGAAAAACATCTTTAGAATTGAGAGTCTACAAAGACATTACAATATCTTACTACAGACACAGACTTCTAGGAGAAATTTAAAGCATAAATAATGGTGAATGTCATAAAACAATTGTATGGAATTCATGAATTAGATTTAAAATAAAATAAACTAAGATGTCTTTATTTAGCACAATCTCTTAGTGGTTTGATATGTTTACACCAAGTTTTCACTGATGAATCTTGTATATTATAGAGATGTAGTAGAAATTAGTTGTTACTACATAATAAGATGATTATTTAGTTGACAATTTGGAACATATATCCGGGTAATATTTTTAGTAAAAATAAATAAATAAAACATTCTTATAGTTACATTTTTGATGATATATTTAGAGTATTCGTTAGAAAAACTTGTATCTTTAAAAAAAAAAAACGTGTTTTTTCTTTAGAATTGGACTGAAAACTTAATTGCCGTCACTATCTTAATATTTTTGGTAGAATTCTTTATTTAATAAAACCATATTGTTTGTTTGATTTCGAAAACTATTGAAATTATATCCTCACTAATATTATAAATGCGAAAGTTACTCTGTCTGTCTGTCTGTTACGCTTTCACGCCTAAACCACTGTACAGAGATGGAGTTGACCTTGAGAAAGAACATAGGATAGTTTTTATCCCAGACTTTTGAAAGGTTCTTTTGGAAACGCGATATAACCGAACTCCACGCGGGCGAAGCCGCGGCGGGAAAGCTATTATATATGTAGCTATAATAATAAAGAAAATGATGTTATTATTATATTATTCACCTTTCTGTAAATGTAAACACATTTTAATGACTTTCCTATCGGTTGATATGTTAACTATTTTAAAATATAAATATTGCTAGCTGAGAATTCCCGGCGCGTAGTTTCATTCGATTCATTTAAGACTCACAATATAACAAGATTCTTCATTATCTTATGTATTCCTTATTTTGGATATCTTTAATACATTTTATAAATCAATTTACTCGATTGCGGCGAATCAAATTGTTGTGTTTGTAATCGTATGTTTATAGGAAAGTTACGTGGATGCATATTGAAAATTGAACGAACATCGCCGGGGTATTTTGTTGTATGGATGAAATTTCATGTAAAGGGTGATATCGCTGTACTAAAAATAACATTTGGATGTGTGGAGGAGAATAGATATGTTACGTACGCGCTACATATTAAAAAATAAATGAACATCGCCGGGCAACATCGTTGTATGGATAAAATATATAACGAGTGCCGCTGCTAACTCCGCGGAACGAACTCCAAGCCGTGTGAACCAGAAGATTCCTGATACACACAAGCTATAGAATGGTATTGCTATACTAACATCGGGTTAATCATGTAGTCTTAGGTGTAGGTTATAAGTTTTAATATGTAATACTTATTATAATATACATATAAGTAAGTTTCGTAGTTTACCTGGTATCACCGGTTGCCACACTATCTCATTAATTAGTCTTAAGTATAGGTAGGTATTTCGTTAATGAAATAATTAATAGTTTTGTATTGGTCTACACTCTATAGTGGATATGAAGATTTGACTTGAAGTTCAATTAATATGAAATAATGATTATAATTCTTCTTTCTGGAAATTTCCCAGCTTTAGCCAGGGTTTGCCAGATTATGATTATAATTACAAATGGCAGGTGTTAATTCAACAATTAATATGTATATACATGTACGTACATTATACGAGTACGACGTGGGATTACTAATTTTCTTATAAGGGTTATATTGTGTTTTTTCCTCTTCAATATTTAGGTATATGTAGTTGTATAAATGGGAATAGAATATGGTTTTACCTATGACACTTGATGACTTATTGTGTGTTGTCATTAATTAAGAAATTATGAAATACTTATAAGTTCTTAAAGGTAAAATTATTGGATTCAAGAAGTATGGGAACGAAAAGAAAATGGTTTTGTAAGAAAATGTGACAGAGCTATAGGAAACTTAAAGGAAAGATATCAATTTAGATATTTATAAAATTTTGGATACAATACATAAATATAAAAAGCTTTATATTTATTTGTAGCTAGCTTTAACCGTCTTTTACGGAGTAATTGCCGCGTCTGTTGATATTGCTAGAAAATATAATATTTATTATTCAATATATTATTTTATTATCTCCAAATTATAATCTATCAGAAAGTTTATATAAAGAAAATAATACATTTAAATGAAACTAATATTTACGGATTTACTGCATGATTTCTGACTATAAACTGCATAATCCCGACGTGTCAGTTACTTAACAGCATCCGTCATCACGGACAAACGATATGTGAATTCATTCATTCTTTCAAATTTTCAAATGAGTACTCGCTAAAATCTTAGATCTCATTAAAACAAGACAGCTCAACATACAAACAAACAAGCTGTTTATTTTATTATGGAAATATAAGTATTAGAGTTATTCCAACTTCGGTTCCCTCTAAAACACTCTCTCTTTAAATCTACAGGTAAGTGACCTACTATTTCAATAAAAATCACTTACTATCGTCATAGAAGGTTAATTATCAATTAAATTCAACTCGTCTATCTTACTATTCAATAGTTTGAAAACTTGCACTACACTCTGTTACTTTGGAACTGAATTAGAAATGTTTTTTTTTCTAAAATCATTTATAGGAGAAATTGACATTTTATGTCTGAATTATAAAACATATAGTTTTAAAGAGAGAGATATAGTTATGTATTGTGGATACAGGAAGAATAAAGAACAATTGAATAGCAGATATTATACAGTGGTCTTCAAGGTGATAAGTACAAAAACATTAAATCCGAACTTTAAACTATATTTGGATCAAATTGTATGAATAAAAATAGCTTACATTTTTCGTTGAAAAGTTATGGGAGTAAAATAATGAATGAAAACCATCCCTTGAAGTATCAATACTGTTTTACTTTAAATTTAAATCTTTACAAAATCAAGTCTTTTATACATTACAAAAACTTTTATGATACGCCCTGTTAAAAAAGGGTACCTATGTGTTTGAAAGTGATCCAGGTAAACTGATTCCAGATGACCTTAGTCTTCTGTAATGTTTATCTTTTTATATTGTACAAATGTCAAGGAGGAATATTAATATGTCAAGGTAGAGCCTAATTGTGGTCAAGTCACTACAGCTCGAACATGGGCTGGCTCGACCGGGAAAGTACAACCTTCTCACAGAAGATCGGCGTGAAGTAGTCTTTAATGGATGCCTTTCGTCCGATGAGTGAGAGAGACGGCCGCCCATTCCCTATTCCTACCCTTTCCTACCATTTCCTTATTCTCACCCTCCTTTTTCCTCAACAACCAAGGTCGGCAACGCATCTGCAACAACTTTTACATATATATGTATATGTATGTATTTTATATCATGTATATATTTTTAATGTTTCTTTAACTTCTGTGCACACCCTACTTACTTCTATCCTACACTTTCTGGGTTGGCTGGCAGAAAATGCTGTAATAGCGTTAAGTCCGCCCTTTGTACACCTCTGTTTGTGCAATAAAGAATAATAAAAAAAAAAAAAATAGTGGTTGGAACATATGCAACTAAATGGCGTATTTGCTATAAGATTTTGAATTAATATATGTACAACAATTACATCTCTAAGGATTATATATATGTAGTATATATTATAATAAATTAACATTCTATAATCGTTATTTATCACTGTCATTATAATTTTATTTTTGTCACAGATGAAACAAATAGAAAACTCAACAACTTCAAATAATAATCTAAGCAAATATTTTAATAAATAAAACATATTTAGTTCATTATTTAATTAAAATCCAATCTCATTAAAGTCTTTCTTAGCACGTAAAATATGACGACAGTTAACTTGTACGTAGTATAAAGTATTATAATTTGAAAAATTCTGAAAGAATTCTAAGATTTTTGTCATAAAATAGATTTAATTTGGATAGAAATCTAGATTAAAATCATTAAACATAAAAGGCAACGATTAGTTTATGTTACAGTTAAATGTGGAGCGTCTTTATTGAGGATAGAGTTATGGTCTACAAAACACTCAACTTATGTGTATGTCTCTCTGTTAGGTGAAGATATGAAAAGAAGAATAAAATAGGCAGACCCTGGCTAGAGCTGGGATGTTACCAGGAAGAAGAAGATGAAAAGA